TTTGAAATTGCACGCAGTTTTTATCGTTGTCTTTGAACATGCATTTCTCTTGCTTATCTTTTTAACCGATCAGTTCTGTGATTTACATTTGAATAAGCAGGCAAATAACGATTGTGTTGCTAATATCCTAAAAAGTTGCTGCTTAAAATGCCAAAAAGTTGCCAAAAATTCAAAATATTGCTAAAAAGTTGCTACGAACTGCAAAAGTTGCTAAAAGGTGCCGAGCTTAATTGGGGAATGCCTATTCACAAGCGCAACAATTGAAGACTTACATGATAAACGCACTTGCAGCAATGCTGTTCCAATTAACAACTTGTCAAAGGATTTGTTCGCACTGCTTGTTTCCAGTTTGTTGCCAAGTAGTCATCGGCTTGTTGACAACTTGCTACAGGGTTGTTGAGCTCAATAGATCTGTTACAAGTTGTTTTAACAAATTGTTATCGTCCTGCAATTCATCAATTTGTCAACAAGTTGTGCATGAGTGACAACCTTGTAACAATTTGATAAGATAACAGTATTATTCGAAGCTTGCTACAAGCTACATGCAACACATCTTGTTGACAAGTTGTGAGAGTTTTACGAGTGTAGATGCAGCTTGTGATGTTTATAATTCATGTACACTGCCCAATGCTTTAGCCCTTGATTCCAAAGGTTCTTGAAGAACGGCGAGGCGAAAGAACGGCGAATAAAAATAACGCAAGCAAATAAAGTAAATAAAGACAGAAGCGCATAAGAAGTATAAACGAAGGAAATAAAGACAGAAGAGCCTCTCCATATCTCGCCAATTCTATACTTGATTAGGTTCAGAATCTGGATATATCAAACCATGCAGGTTATGCCAAAATGTACATTTACAGGCTATATATAATTGGCTATTGTGTACATATTTATTTCCCGAACCTGATTGACATGTATGTAAGGGATAGAGCCTGGTCACGCGTGTTGTATGTGCATGGGTTGTTCACCATTTACATGGAAAACCCATATGGTTTGAAATTGTGCTAATGCATGGTAAGCAAAATTTCGGATAGAAAATCCCATTCGGATTATGCGCTTTCCATTTAGAGTGACTGACCGGAAGGCACTGAAGGGTTGTTTACATTTACATGGAAAACCCATTCGGTTTGAATTAAATTGCGAAGAGCCTGGAACTGGCGAAAAAATAAAGAAGATATAAATGGAACAAAATTCACAGGTTGAAACGTTCCAATCGGTTCCAATCCAAACAAACCGTTTATTCCGGAAAAGTTCCGGGGGGCCGTCGAAATATGCTTGTTCTTGCATTTACTTTCCGTATAGAATCACCGGAATTTCCATGTAAATGATAAACAACCAGGGTCACTAGAATTAAGCGAAAATGTTCCGAAAACTAATTCGATCGACTCGCTATAAGCCATAGAACACAAGTGACTATGCATGCTCTATCCCTTAGAAAATGATGATTAATGATCACATGCATCCATGAATAATTATTTCTTTCTTTATATTTTGGGGAAGTATTTTTTCAAATTTTTATTAATACTTGCAGTGACTTTATTGTCTATTGAACTGATTAGTATGTTCTATATCTGATTAGTATGCTAATAAGACTTTGTTTATCTTGTGTTGAATGCTTCATTAGTATGCTCAATATATAGAATACTGATGAATCACATAAACTCACTGTAGTTGCTATGAAGTTTGTTATGAGTTTATGCATGGATATAGAGCTTTCCAAGACATTGTAATATTCTCTTGATCTATGATACTTCATTTACCAAAAGTTTACATCGGTGTGAAACCTTATCGTTTGAATGTAGGCTATTTTCTACAACTGTTCGCTGTGATGTCTCTATAGTCAATACGATATGCCCAGACAACTTGTTCGTCCCACCCTTAATTTGTTTCACTTTCCTTGTTCTTTCCACAAACCTCCTCCTCTGCAACATGTAATTGTTTCTGTTATTCTATTTTGGGTATTTCTTTAGTTTTACTCCGTGTTTATTATACTTAGGGATATTGGATCTGTAACTTACATGCTATATATATGCATGTATTAGCGCGTGGATCATTCTTTTCAGGGCCTCTTTTAACCTATAAACTAGGTCAGGAACCGGCCACGTACATGTTCAACTCCTAGTTATGTCTCATTTCCCTAATGCCCCACCCCCACAATGATATGTCTGCAGATTCGTACGATATTTTCACCAGTCGAAAAATGAACTGAATTTATTTTTACTGGATATAGACAGCTCTTATAGTTCTGCCTATATATAGTATAGTTATATGTATACATAAAGCAGGCGGGTATTAACAGCCGCGTCGCTGGTAACCCGTTAATGTCCCAAATTTCTGGTAATGAAAGGCATGTAGATTTTGTTTCCTGAGACGTACGCATGAATGTCCACGGTCCAGTTTTTTTTTACATCATGAAGTGGCGACGCGCCTGTACAAGTCAATATCAATTTTACTAAACGAACGTTTAATTACAATTCACAAAGAGTTTTTAAAAGGCTTTTTAAAAATGACATTTCCACGCCGTTAACCACATTGTGTTTCAATCTCACAATCTAACCGCAGTCTAAGTGCGTAGGTGTTTGTTATACGTTATATCACTTTAACTGGCTAAATTTCAAAGGAAACCACAAAACATGTGCTTTAATTGCTGTGTCGCGCCAAATGTCGTTCTTGCTAATAAACCGCCTAAAATAATGAAGTTTATTGATTTTATCATCAATTCTAAAAATTGTCTACAAAGATTGTTTATGAAATCTTCTTGAGTTGTACAGTTTCTTAATATAAGCACTCGAGATTTCGTGCATCTCGTTCGATATAATAGTCTAGGACCTGTATATGAGTTTGTATGCATTTCATTTAGGACAGATAATCTCAACTGTTTTAGGGTAAGTTGATCATGACGGTCAACATGGTAACGCTGCCCGAACCCCAATCCGGGGCGAAACGTCCGAAACTGACCACACCCAAAAACGACGCTTTCGCCATACTGCTATCTACCAAACCATAAAAACTTTGGCTATTCTGAGGTGCTTATATGGTTCAGAGATGGTACTTTTGGGGGTGGTCATTGGTAAGTGTGAAATGCCAAGCACTAATATTTCACAAGAAAATGGCCATGCAATAATCATAGTTAAACGTCAATTTGTGGCTTGCAAATTCAGATAAACAGCAGTGGACTTACATTACCTTTTTTCCTAAATCGTTTTGATAGAAACATAAATGGTACTTATTTAAATATATTATCACTGGTTTGGTGTAAAATAGTTAATATTTTCTGACCGAAATAATAATTTGAAATGTGCCTACCTCCTGCAAATGGACGTATTTGGCCAAGTTCTCCACTTTACTCCGCTGTTTATCGGCGATCTCGTCGACATCCTACAAAAATGTAAATCATCTCAGACATAATGGTATCAAGAACATTTTAAACAAGTTTCAACTTGGTTTCAAGTAGATCATACCTGTTTAACCATCGACAAGGTAAAACCACAACTTTGTCCAAATTCGGCGCCATTTTGTCATCCCATGTCGCTTGTTAACAATTCAGCCTTGTTACTCTTCCATCCAAGCCATTTCCATTCCACTAATAATAAATTTAACCCTTTATAACAGGAGGAAACTAAAAAATCTAAACAAAATATAAGAAATACGCCATTTTATCACCATGTAAAATTTTGCTCACGAGTCTTTCAAAACATTCCGTACAAATCTCGCGTGGTTTAGCAACAGGGACGTGACAGGGGGGGTAGAGACTTGAAAAATGAAAGGAAAGCCCACACACTATGGTAAAACCAACAATCAACATTTAATTTGTATGACTTTTTCATATTAATAAATAATAATATGTATATATTTGTCGCCACAAGAAATAAAACAAACATTTGTATGATTGTATTTAGCTTTTAGTCTATTTCACGCAGCCTTCTTCTATCTTCGTGAAATAATTCACCCCCTCCTGTCACGTCCCTGTTACTTTGTCACGCGATATTTGTACGGAATGTTTTGAAAGACTCGTGAGCAAAATTTTACATGGTGATAAAATGGCGTATTTCTTATATTTTGTTTAGATTTTTTAGTTTCCTCCTGTTATAAAGAGTTAAATTTATTATTAGTGGAATGGAAACGGCTTGGATGGAAGAGTAACAAGGCTGAATTGTTAACAAGCGACATGGGATGACAAAATGGCGCCGAATTTGGACAAAGTTGTGGATTTACCTTGTCGATGGTTAAACAGGTATGATCTACTTGAAACCAAGTTGAAACTTGTTTAAAATGTTCTTGATACCATTATGTCTGAGATGATTTACATTTTTTGTAGGATGTCGACGAGATCGCCGATAAACAGCGGAGTAAAGTGGAGAACTTGGCCAAATACGTCCATTTGCAGGAGGTAGGCACATTTCAAATTATTATTTCGGTCAGAAAATATTAACTATTTTACACCAAACTAGTGATAATATATTTAAATAAGTACCATTTATGTTTCTATCAAAAAGATTTAGGGAAAAAGGTAATGTAAGTCCACTGCTGTTTATCTGAATTTGCAAGCCACAAATTGACGTTTAACTATGATTATTGCATGGCCATTTTCTTGTGAAATATTAGTGCTTGGCATTTCACACTTACCAATGACCACCCCCAAAAGTACCATCTCTGAACCATATAAGCACCTCAGAATAGCCAAAGCTTTTATGGTTTGGTAGATAGCAGTATGGCGAAAGCGTCGTTTTTGGGTGTGGTCAGTTTTGGACGTTTCGCCCCGGATTGGGGTTCGGGCAGCATTACCATGTTGACCGTCATGGTCAACTTACCCTAAAACAGTTGAGATTATCTGTCCTAAATGAAATGCATACAAACTCATATACAGGTCCTAGACTTGATCTTTATATTGCCTTTTAATTGAATTAAAAAACTCATTAATAATTCATGACGAAAACACAAAGAAAAATCACAAGCGTGTCGTGTCTGTATATGTTATACAGATTCATGTTGATTTGCATAAACTTTAACTTTGATTTTCTCGGCTTAGACAACGTTTATTTTTAAAATTACTTCGCCAATGAACTCATAAGATGAGTCGTTTTTTAAGTCATTTACAACATTCGCGTCCGTGTTGTATCGGATATACAAACTCTCGCCTTCGGCTCGAGTTTGTATATCCGATACAACACGGCCGCTCATGTTGTAAATAGTACTTATAACACTACATTACACTAATATGTCAATATATAATAATACTCCTATAGTCGAACATATGATAATAACAACATAAAAGCACCGGCTTTCGCCGAACCTGACAGCCCGTTCGCAGGATACGCGCGTGGGAGACGCGCGCGATTTGGGAAATGACGCGCGTATCCTGCGAACGGGCTGTCAGGTTCGAAAGGCGGTGCTTTTATATAAGCTAATAATAGATCTTAAATAATAAATTGAAAAACATACAAATACAAATCAACTTATATGTTGTTATTATATGTTCGACTACAGGAGTATTATTATTATATGACATATTAGTGTAATGTAGTGTTATAATTCATGATTAAAAGGTAATATGAAGACACTAAAATAAATAAACTGAAAAACATACAACACAGATACAGATCAACGCTTGGGCTCCCTGTGTATAAACGCAGGAATAACATGTAAGTTACACTGAACTTCTGATCGGTCACGCAGACCAGGGCCCAGTTGTTCAAAGGTCGGGTTAGCGCTAACCCTGGCAATGGTTACAATTTAACCTGCTGTTTTAGTTTATGTATTTCCGTACTTCTGCTTATTTCAAAACTTCAGAGAAACTATCGATCCAGACAAGATTTCTGAAGAATCATTTCTAAATTTGTAAACAAGCTGCCAGGAAGAGTTTGCTTTGAATTTTAGGTTAACCCAGCCAAGCTGATCGTCTTTTGAACAACCGACCCCAGCAGACCCATAGAGATTATAAATAACACTAGAGGAGGCATCGAGGTTAAAAATTGGGAACGCAGCTAATGGGGAGCAAATTCAAGTCCCGGATATAAAATCGTGCTCTCATTGGCTGATTTGAAACTCGTCACCAATGCGGGAACGTAAATACACATCCGGGACTTGAATTTGCCCCCAATAGCTGCGTTCTCTTTTTTTAACAGAGAACGACATAGTCTGTGTGATATGTGCTAAATACTTAGCGCCCCCATTTCCGTCCACGAGCGTCTGTGACGCAGGCTATTTTTTAACTGAATTACGATTACAATGCATCCTCTAGTGTTATTTATAATCTCTATGAGCAGACCCTCACGTTGGTATATGACGTATACTTTCAAATAGATTTATCACTTTCTATATACAATAAATTTCCGTTGTGGTGATTTAATTTCCTGGATTTCTTTTTCTGGCTACGAAGTTGATAAGTATTTTAGAATAGGGAGCCTTTCTTATTTATTTTATCATTTTTTTGCATGTCGACCACAAACTTGATTTGCGATTACGATTACCATTAACATTTTTTATAGCGCATATTTACATGTGGATATCTGCCTCATATCTAGGCGTCGCTTTCTTGTAAAACACAGTGATGCGCGTAAATAACTCTTCGTAAATGATCTTAAAGGTGAAAGCCTAAAGGCGCTTGCCAGGGCCTATCAGAGAAATTCAGGAGATTCGGTTAAAAAAAATTTTCCGGAATAACATCAGTTCAGTTAAGGTTCAAAAAAATTTTTGCCGGACAAAATTCTTGTTACATTACGTTGGTAAAACCCTTTTTTGGAACTAATATCTGCAAAATTTAGGTTTAGAAAATTTTTTCTCAGCCATTAATTATTTAAAAAATCTCTGCGGAGAAGAGTGCTACAGAACTGTTTTCTTTTCATGTTGCAGTTACAATTTGACGAAGTTCGTGTCGAATGTCACTATTTCATTTTCAAATTATCGCCATTTCAACGTATTGTCGCCTGTCGGAATTTACCCTAAAGGCCCGGCCGGTCACACTAGACAACGAGATTGGCAAAACAATTATGTTATAGTGTCCACACGACAACGAAAATGATAAAATTGTTGTTTGGCGATAACGATTTTAAAATTGCTCACCCGCGCGATTTTTTTTTGAGTCGGACGATAAAGCCCTGTTTAAACGGATCCAACATTGTTGGGCCAACATCATCCAACATTGTTGAAATAATGGCCCAAACCGCTTCTTTTTCAAATATTTTTGTCAAGACTAGGTTTAGAGTTTGAGTAAAGCTTATCTAACCAAAAAGATTTGAAAGAGAAGCAGTCATATCTATTATAGTAACATTGTTGGATGATGTTGGTCCAACAATGTTGGATCCGTTTAAACAGGCCTTAACAATAAATTTTTGACCAATCAGCACGCGTATACAAGTTATCGTATCGCGGTGTAGTGTGACCGGGCCTTAACAGGGTTTCTGTACTTTTATTATATACATTTTAGACCTGGTTGGAGGCCTATGATTGCATTTTTCGCAGCTGCTCCAAGTCAGGTCTAAAATGCATATGTAAACTATATAATTTCCACACAAAATTTTCACCTACAACTGAACCACTGCATCTTCAATATTTGGTTCTGTGACTGTAGAATGTGGAAATCGACCCTATCTTTAAAGCGTATTAATTATTTTCAGGTATCATCTGCCTCTGGACATTTGTATATTCAATTAAAAGAATATAAAAATGTAGACGGTAAGATATCGGATGGTTCTTGCTGTGATAGTTCATGGTGGTGTGCAAGTGACGAATGTGATCCGTATTTTGTATTCAAGTTTCAAGGAAAGAAGGAGTCTACTAGTGCAGTCAATAACATCGCATCTATAACATCTTTTTCCAAAGATGTTTTTCGTTTCAAATTTGAACGCTGGAGGGTAGGTCTCTATATTTTTAATTATTTTCGGGGATGTGCCCTGACGGAATAACGGGCATGCATTCTTATACTAATCATAATCCTTCCTTCCTTATACTAATCATACCCGTTAACACGGCTTCTGCAGTAAACAGTATTCAGTAAATTATACAGAGTGTATATAAAAAAAGTAGATAATGGTCAATAGTCCAGCTATACACGAAATTTTGATTTACCATAGCAAATTTTGTATCAATTTGGTTATTTTTGCCGTAATACAAGTACTGTATACAAAATGTTCGAACTTCACAGGGCAATATTTTCTTCATTTTACAACATTTAGGTTAGCAACCAATCTTTGCAGTTTTACTCATTCTAAGACGCTCTTTCTAGCTGTGGTGTTGGATTTCGTTCTTCATACCTTGTTGAAAATTTAGTCTATAGCTGCAATCACCCATTTTGGAACAACAATTTCACAAATCCGTTCAATTCATGAACTTTTTGTAAAATAAACAAAAAAATTTCGTAAAGATAAATTTTCCGGAGCAGGGGGGCGTGTCGTTTTTAGCAGCATTAAAATAGCATGCGCGCGAAATTTAAAAGTTGAACGCATTTTGAGTTCATGGTCAGGAAAAGCAGAATAGACAGTACCTGAAATTGACCATTTGCGTAATAGACTAAATTTTGAACTAAACAAGTCTAGACAAAAATTTCATCACAGCTTGAAGGAGCATCACAAAATTAGTAATATTCCAAAGTTTCGTTGCAAAATGTTGTAAAATGCGGAAAATATAGCCTTGCGAAATTTGCAATTTTCAGTCATTTTAGATTACAAACGGGAAATTGACAGCCCCAAACCCTTCGAGGCTGTCAATTTCCGGTTTGTGATCTAAAATGACTGAAAATTGCAAATTTCGCAAGGCTATATTTTCCGCATTTTACAACATTTCGCAACGAAACTTTGGAATATTACTAATTTTGTGATGCTCTTTCAAGCGGTAATGAAATTTTTGTCGAGATCAAAATTTAGTCTATTACGCAAATGGTCAATTAGGCCAACATTACACAAAACTGAATACTTCGATAGACTTTGTTTGGCAGTCAGCGATTGAGGCAAGTTGCAAAAGACCTATATTAGTACTTTATTCTCAGATTTTGCGATTAACAACATCGCGTTATCTAATTAACTGAACAAATTTTCGTTGGTAGGAATGCAACTCTGGAATGCAGCAACTACCTGACAACTAATATATAAGGAGAATTTCGACGTTTCGAGCGAAGGTCCTTCGTTGAAGCCATATTTCAACTTGATATGCAAATTACAAAGTCAAAAATGAAGTAGAATAAAACATGTCCGTGATTTCTGGCCATGACTTATTTTTTGTATCATTGTGATAAAAATGAGCAACTAAAATTGTCAGTACGACCCAACTATATCTGAGAATGCTTTTCTTGTATTTCCTGGAACAATGTCTTGGATGAATAACATCCAAATTGGCTGAGTTTTCATATGTAAATACTATAACTTATGAAATGTTTTTTTACGAGGTTGCATCTTGTTTTCAAGTTTTTGTTAAACTAGCCAGGCTTTTTAATGGGAAAATATCTTAAGTTCAAGTTTTAGGACTTGCAAGGTTTGCAGGTGTGTAAATAATCTATTATAACTCGATACTGAATGCACGACAACATCATGCTAAACTTGATTATCTATACAGCTTGCATGTATATCTTAGATATTCATGTTTAATGAAAACTGATAAAATAACAATAGTCTAACATTAATATTACTAACAGATTTTTACTTATTCATCAACTTAGTCTAACCAACGACTTGAAGTTGAAATCTGGGATGAAGATCTCGGTGGGGACGACAAAATGTACGAGAAAGCAGTAAAACTTCCAGATAAAGCTGGCAAATGGTATTCTGCATCAACTGTCAATCCAGAAGAAATCAAAGGAACATACACGACCTTTAAAATATCATTACGAGTATATTGTGACTCGGGTTACTTGGTCCCTAACTGCTCCAAGTATTGTAAAGTTAGTAATGACAGTAATTATCGTTGTGATTATACCAAAGGCTTGAAGATTTGTCATCCATGTTGGTACGGTTCGGATTGTCAGAAATACTGTCGTGAACATAGTGACGGTAATTACATTTGCAATAAAACAACCGGTATGAAAATTTGCCATCAAAATTGGTATGGAAGTGAGTGCACAGTTCACTGCAAAAAACAAAACGAGTCCACTGGAAACTATTTTTGTAACAGGACTAATGGTGGAAAGATTTGTTATCCAAATTGGTATGGTACAAATTGTACAACATATTGCAAACCAACGAACGATTCTGCTGGACACTATCACTGTAATACCATAACTGGTTCCAAAATCTGTTACCCAGAATGGTATGGAAACAACTGCACAACATTTTGCAACCCAAAGAATGATTCAACCGGCCATTATTCATGTAATAAGATGACTGGTTCAAGATTTTGTCATTCACATTGGTTTGGGGAAAATTGTACGGAATATTGTAAAAAGCAGAATGATACTAATGGACATTATTCATGTGAAAAGGCAACTGGTTCTAAAATGTGTCACTCAAATTGGTTTGGAACTAACTGTACAACCTTTTGCAAACCAAATAATGATTCAAGTGGGCATTATGCGTGCACTAAAGATTCTGGAATGAAACAGTGTCTTCCAAACTGGCATGGAACAAACTGTTTAACTTATTGTAAAGAGCAAAATGGTACTAGTGGTCATTATTACTGTGATAGGAAGAATGGTTCGAAGACATGTCATCCAAATTGGTTTGGGAATAATTGTACTAGTTATTGTAAAGGGCAAAACAGTTCTTCTGGCCACTATTTCTGTAACAGAAGTACAGGTTTGAAGATCTGTCATCCTCATTGGTACGGAACTAACTGCCAAACATACTGCAAGGCACGAAACGATTCAACAGGACATTATACATGTAATAACGAAACTGGTTCGAAAATTTGTCAGTCAGATTGGTATGGGGCAAACTGTGAGGTATATTGTAAACAAAAGAATGATTCAAATGGACATTATTCTTGTGATACGACAACTGGTCTTAGGATCTGTCATCAAAATTGGTTTGGAACTAACTGTACAATATATTGTGAGAAGCAAAATGATTCGACTGGGTATTATTTCTGTAGTCGAACTACTGGATCAAAAATTTGTTATCTTAATTGGTATGGAACTAACTGCACAGTATACTGCAAAGAGCAAAATGATTCTACTGGTCATTATTCATGTGATAAGGCAAATGGTTTAAAACGTTGCCATCCAGACTGGTTTGGAACGAACTGTACAACATATTGTAACCCAACCAATGATTCGACTGGCCATTATTACTGTAATATTACAACTGGTTATAAGAATTGTTATTCACATTGGTATGGAGCTAACTGTACCCGGTATTGTAAAGAACAGAATATTTCGTCTGGACACTATTTCTGTAATGAAGACTCTGGGTCAAAAATCTGTCACCCAAATTGGTTTGGACCGAATTGTGAAACATATTGCAAAGAACAGAATGGTCCTAATGGACATTATTTTTGTAACAGAGAAAACGGGTTAAAGCTATGTCATCCAGACTGGTATGGAAGATTGTGTGCTGTATTTTGTAAAAAACAAAATAGTTCTGATAGTCATTTCTTTTGCAATAAGACAACAGGGCAAACTGTTTGTCATCCACAATGGTTTGGAATAAATTGTACGAAATATTGTAAGGAACAGAACGGTTCCAATGGACATTATGATTGCAACGAAAGTATAGGCTCAAAAATCTGCCATCCAAATTGGTTTGGAACTAACTGCTTGAACTTTTGCAAAGAACGGAATAACTCGAAAGGGCATTACTCATGTAATAGGACAACAGGGACAAGAATTTGTCATCCAAATTGGTTTGGAGGAAACTGTTTGACGTACTGTAAAGAAAGAAATGCTTCTTCTGGGCGTTATTTCTGTAATAGAACAAATGGTTTTAAGATTTGTCATTCAGATTGGTTTGGAACTAACTGTTCGACGTATTGTAATGAAAAGAATGATTTTACTGGGCATTACTTCTGTAATAACAGAACAGGGTTAAAAAGGTGTTATCAAAATTGGTTTGGAACTAACTGTTTGGCGTATTGTAATGAAAAGAGTAATTCTTCTGGGCATTATTTCTGTAATAACATAACAGGGTTAAAAATGTGTTATCCAAATTGGTTTGGAACTAACTGTTCAATATTCTGTGAATCAAGGATAGGTTCAACAGAACATAATCATTACTCCTGCAACCAATCTACAGGTTTAAAAAACTGTCATCCAAATTGGTTTGGAAGAAATTGCTCAACATATTGCAGAGAAACGAATGATTCTATTGGGCATTATTCCTGTAATAAGACAACTGGATCTAAGATTTGTCATCGACAATGGTATGGAAATAACTGCACAGTGTATTGTAAACCAATTAAGGATTCCTCAGGACACTACTTCTGTAATGAACAATCTGGCTCAAAAATATGTCACCCAAATTGGTACGGACCAAACTGTTCAACATTTTGTAAAGAACAGAATGCTTCTGCTGGACATTATCACTGTAATAAAACAAATGGTTCAAGAATCTGTTATTCGAATTGGTATGGACCTAACTGTTCAACACATTGTGAAGACTCGAACGATTCAAATGGGCACTACTTTTGCGAAAAGACAACAGGTTCAAAAATTTGCAATACAGATTGGTTTGGGAATAACTGTACAACATTGTGCAAAGCAAGAAATGACTCAACAGGACATTATAGTTGTAACGGAACAACTGGTTCAAAGTTTTGTCATCCACAGTGGTTTGGGGAAAGCTGTAGAAATTATTGTAAAGAGAAAAATGACACTGCAGGGCATTATTCGTGTGAAAAGACAACGGGATCTAAAATTTGTCACACCAATTGGTTTGGGACTAACTGTACAACTTATTGCAAACCAAAAAGTGATTCTACTGCAGGGCATCACTTCTGTAATACGACAACTGGTTCAAAGGCATGTTATCCACACTGGTTTGGCACAAACTGCACGGAATATTGCAAAGAACAAAATGGTATAAAAGGACATTATCTATGTAATAAAACAACTGGCTTCAAGATTTGCTATCGAAACTGGTTTGGAAGCAATTGCCAAATATTTTGTAGGGAAGCACATGATTCTATTGGACGTTATTTCTGCAATAAGACAACTGGTTTGAAAGTCTGCAATCCAGATTGGTACGGAGATAACTGTTTAACATATTGCAAAGACACGAATGATTCTAACGGTCGCTATCTTTGTAACAAAACAACTGGTTTAAAAATTTGTCATCCAAATTGGTTTGGACCGAACTGTACGACATACTGTGAAGAAGCTATCGGTGGGTATTACCTTTGTAATAAGACAACAGGATTGAAATTCTGTAAGGCTAATTGGTACGGGGTGAACTGTTCCATTTCCTGTCAGGAAAGCAATGGTCTTAACGGTAATTACTTGTGTAATAAGACAACTGGTTACAAGTACTGCAAACCTAACTGGTATGGAGTTAACTGTACGAATTACTGTCATAAAAGTAGCAATATTAATCGTCATTATTTCTGTAACGAGACGAATGGTTCAAAAATTTGTCTTCCTGACTGGTACGGCACTAACTGTACCACATACTGTAAATCATCAAATAGTGATCATTCTGGGAAATATTTGTGCAATAAAACAACTGGACAAAAGATTTGTTTAGAGGATTGGTATGGAACGGATTGTAAAATATATTGTAAAGAACAGAATATATCCAGCGGAAGTTATGTTTGTGATAGAACAACGGGCGAGAAGATTTGCCACCTGAAATGGTATGGATCTAACTGTGACCAAAGAATCTGTTATTCAAACTGGTATGGAGCTAACTGTACTGTATATTGCAAAGAAGATATAAACAGTCACTACACGTGCGACAATGAAACAGGGACAAAGATTTGTCATTCTGAATGGTTTGGGGTAAATTGTTCTCAAAGTATTACGGCAAAGAACGTCTGGGACGGTCTTCCACAATATTTGAAACTCACAATTGGTGGCGGAGGAATATTGGTGCTTGTGATTATTATTGTTGTTTTAGTGAGGTAACTAACTATTTCTTTCTTTTCGTTCACGGCAACCAGATTTATCACTTTGAATAGGGATGTGGAGTGTCTTCACGTGCTTGGGTGGTGGGTGCCGCATTGCAACCCACCTGACTGGAGTGTCGAAACGTTGGGAGAATGTACAGTATTCTGGGATTGCATTCAATTACTTAATAGTTAAACAAGAGTGTCGAGATTAATACGTGCCCACGCAGAACGATTTCACACCAGTTTTTTTCCATTTTCCCACTGCTCGTTAACCGTACTTTTTGCAATTTCTTACTTATTAGATGCACGAAAAACTCGTCTTTGACTTTGAAGAAAAATAAGGTCGATCACGAACAAACCACGCGAGAAATTTACGTCCTTACTGAAGGAAAAAATATTCACATGGACACTTTTGAAAAGTTTTGACGGTAAGCTAAGAATTCTTCTATATGGACTGAATAGTAATACTGGTTTACACTACCAAAGTTTCTGCGAAATTCTATATACTACACTATACCGTATCCTACCGTACCGTACTGTACCTCTCTCCTCCGCAGAGGCTTTAGTTTTCTTAGGATTTAATATTACGATGAGATACATTTCACTACACTTTACATGGTGGATCTTGGAACACGAGCGTAGCCGCTGGGCGAAGGAGCGCAGCTGCATTGTACTGTATTGTAGTCACAGAAACTTGATATTGTAAACCAGTTACCAGCCTTTAACCGACTTCGTTATAATGGTATAGGCATATTATATGCTGTCTAAGCTTATTTGTTGATTATATTTTTACAGATGCTTCAAGCAAGCTGAATATCTTAGATGGACTTGCTTTCTTGGTGCAGAAAACATATATTTATATTTGAAAATTTTTATACCATCGATCATATACAATAAAATAAGAATTACTGTACAAATTAAATTATCAGTTAACTATATATTATAACTATTGTATAGCTTAATATATTTAAATTTAATTACACGATTCAACCATAGCGGGGTGACTAGCTGCCGTCTGCCTGCCAAAAGGTTTTTATTTGGGATTCCAATTCTTTGACGCCCTTTATAATAAACTCCCAAATAAAAATTCATTTCGGAGGCAAATTTGGAGCAAGACTAAGCACAAGACTGACCATCGCTGACCTGAATCACAATGTGGTTTTAAAATCTCATTAGTAAAATCTCTTTAATTAAAATCAGGAAATACACCTGTGGTTTCGCACTAATAACTATAGGTAAGGTTTTTTTTTAAATTACTACGAATTCGATAATTCTACATACTTGTATGTATAAGTTCAAGTTTATGCATAATATGCTAATCTATTTAAAGCAGTGGAACTCAGAGTGAATGAAGTTCCTTCATTGCAAACGCCCCCTTAAGGTAAAAATGTTCCTTTCACCTTAAGTTTTAGCGATGCAATAATACTGATAAGACCTGGTTCAGACATAGAACATTTCATGTACCAAGCTTATATGTATATATAATGCAAATGAACGCAATGCCTAACAATATGTTTTTTGTATCAATACGTCATACTTATAGACAGTTCTATGTAATAGACAAAGCATGAGCGGCCGTGTTGTATAAAAAACTCGAGCCAAAGGCGAGAGGTTGATACAACACGGACGCGAATACTTTATATGGCTTGTGAAACGTCTCGATGACAACATTCGTATTCTTCAACAATTTAAAATAAATTAATGATATTTGGTGCGAAAATTAAACTAAAGTTTATGTAAATCAGCATGATTCTGTATCAGATATACAAACTCCTTCATGCTCATGATTTCTTTTGTGTTTTCTTCATGAATTATTCATGAGTTTCACAAAGAATGTAACAGTATGAAAAGTTTATGAATTATATATACTATGGACAAAAGTTTCTGATTTTAGTGTCTTACGTATTTAAAATAGTGTCTAAAATGTAATTAGAATAGTGCATGGTATCCAGAATAAATAAACGGTGCAGTTTCCTTCACAAATGTCTAATTAACTCAATATACACGTAATTGTATAAGCACAATTAGGTAGAGGTTAGTCAAGGTCAAAGTCGCGGCGAACTGATCGCGCGCAGCAGAATTTTGAGGGTAGAATTAGAGGGTATTGTCCAGGGTCGCAAGGTTTGTGTTTGATCGCAACTTGTACTTCCTCACAGAACAAATTGCATAGGAAACAAGTGAGTAATTTCGAAATCAAGTATAGGTTGCTTTTATGCTATCGAAAGCATAAAAGCAACCTCTTTCGATAGCATAAAAGCAACCTATGTTTTCGAAATTACTCACCACCCGTGATGATTCCTATACGGATGAAACAGACTGTTGTGGTTGTTTTGAGGTAAAACGAAAAAAAACTATATTACGCTCTATCTATATGGTATTGAGCACTGTATTTGTTTCGTAAACCAAAAACTTAAGCTATATATATATATATTATATATATTTTTTCTGTATATAAGTACATACAACTCAGTTGATTGGCGGTTTCGACTCACGACTTTCGCAATTGACTCACTAGTTGATTGACGACAGTCTGGACAACTGAGAAGGCATATCACATTCACACACCACGAGTTAACAAGAATGAATGAAGACTGACTTACAAATAATAGTAAATGGACATCAAAATATGAGGTCACTATATTCAACGGTTTTAACTTCTCTTCCAACACAAAGTTTTGGTTTACAATGAATGTAATGTTCCAGTCAGGAAAATCCTAAGGGTTGATTATTAGATTAACCATCATATCTTGTGACCGAGCAAAAAAGCTTAACTGCATGAAGATATCCGCACTGAAGATTGTTGGACGACTAATTAGTGAATATTAGGAGGAATATCCTGCTTAAGACGACGAATTCTCAAGAATGAAAGGTTTGACAAAACTGCACGTTATATGCAGTTTTTTACTCATCTGTCTACAGGTAAGCATATACCTTCAGGCTTATTTTTTAGTATAAATAGAATTCCAAGATTTCGCAAGGCAATACGATAACAGACGCACACTAGAATAGATATACAATTTGCAAAGCGGAAAATTTATGAATGGTTAATTTTGTAAGAAAAACGTACCAGCTTTTTCCAACACAGGCAAATCTACCAGTTCTTTTTATGGAATTTATTCATTCGAACAATTGTCGCGTTGCATCTGGGGGCAGTTGTAAATGCGCTGCATGGATAGCGTATTGCCATGACTAAATTTGGGTAAACGTGAAAAACACTATAGCTGCTGCTTTAAAGTTTTCATATGCTTAAAAAATTAGAGGCAAACAGTCTCTTTTAGACGCCAAGACATGCAGACATCTCGCCCGCAAGTCTTCTTCCAAAAAATCCGTCTGCTAGGTAGGCTACTCTTTCGTCAGTGTATTTTCTCCCAATGTGATTGTGTATCTTTCTACTTAATTTTATCACGCTTAAATCAAATTAAATCCGCACAAGCATTTTTCGAGAAGTATAACAAAAAAAAGTTGTCTTTCACTAGAGAGGGAACTTTCCATTTGACAGCAATAAATTATTTTTCAAAACATATCACAAGTTTCACAAAACATATCACAATCCTTAATTGACCAACATTTCCCCTTAAAGCGAAAGCGTATTCGAAGACAGACTCACCCATGGCTTGATAGCACTACACTCAAGCTCATGAGAACACGTGATCAAATGCACAAAAAGGCAAAAAGATCAGGACTGTCTCAGGACTGGATCGAATACAGACGCCTTCGTAACAAAGTAACCGAAATAAACAGAAAGGCAAGAAAAGATTACTTCAGAAACAAGCTTGAAGAAAATCGTGGAAAGCCCAAAGCTTTCTGGGACACATTACGTCTGATCCTTCCATCCAAGAAAAACTGCAATGAAATTGAAAGGTTAGTGGTTGATGGTGAAGAGTTAAGTGACAAGCGTGACATTGCTAATTCTTTAAACGAATATTTTACAACAATTGCATCCTCGTTGTTAGCCAGTCACCAATCCCACAAGTACCTAGCAGCTCCACAGCAGGAAAACGACCCGGTCATTTCAAACAACACCTTTAAATTTCGTGTCTTGAATGAAGACGACGTTTTCAACGTCTTACAAACAATGGATATATCGAAAGCTACAGGAGCAGACAATATATCGGCTAAAGTCTTGAAGACCGCTGCTCCCTATATCAGCAACGTTGTATCTAATATATTCAATGCATGCTATCAGTACGGTCGCTTTCCATCTTCGTGGAAAACGGCGAGAGTGACACCATTGTTTAAAGGCGGGTCCAAGACTGATCGTGACAACCGAAGGCCAATTTCCGTTCTGCCCTGCATATCAAAGGCGCAAGAAATGTTCGCCAATCTCGATCTACAAGAATTCGCAGCGGAGAATAATCTTATCGGTGACCATCAATTTGCGTACGCCAGAAACTCATCAACTACAGCAGCACTTAATATTACCGTTGACTCGTGGAAATTTGCTATAGACAAAGGAGAGAAAGTTGTTTGCACCTTCCTAGACTTGAGAAAGGCGTTTGACATCATAGATCATGACATCTTGATAAGCAAACTATCGAAAAGCGGAGTGACTGGAAACGAACTGAAATGGTTCACGAGTTATCTACACGAAAGGAAGCAATATGTCTCGTGCGAAGGCGTAGAGTCGGAACGGCGTTTAATTACACACGGAGTTCCGCAGGGTTCAGTCCTCGGGCCAACGCTATTTAACATCCATATAAACGGGATCGCTGATGCGTGCAAGGACAGTGAGGCGGCGTTGTACGCAGACGATACAGAAATCCATGCGAGCTCGAAAGACATTGACGTGGCGGAACAACGGGTCAACCAAGATCTTGAAAGTATCGTGATGTGGTGGAATCAGAACGGCCTAATCAGTAATCACAAGAAGTGTGAGGCAATGCTGATTGGATCGAGATATAAAATCAAGAGTTTATCCAAAACTTAAATTGCGTAACAGAATTTCACATTTTCTTAGCCGCAATGTTTTGCTAAAGATCTACAAGCAAACTGTGCTTCCTCTGTTAGATTACGGATGCGTCGTATGGGCTGAATGCGGAAAGAGAAACGTCCAAAGCTTAGAACGACTACAAAATCAAGCGATGCGGATAGTGTTACACGCGAACCGTAAGACATGTACTCAGGAGATGCGTGCTAAATTACACCTTTTGTCACTGTACGGAAGACGTCGTCTTATAAGATTGCAATACGTTTATAAGATCGTAAACAACATAAACTGCCCGAAGCAGATGATAGGCTATCTAGTAAGACGATCACAAATGCACTGTCGATCTCTTAGAGATCCAACATTGCTAGATTTACCGCCAGTAAGAACTAGATGTGGCGAGACCTCATTCAGATTCTCGGGTGCCAAAGATTGGAATTCTCTACCGAAAGAAATACGAGAATTAAAAACACTTGTGCGGTTCAAGAAGGAAGTGTTTAAACACTTGATAAACATGGATGCTGTTACGCACAATTGTAGTTTGTAATTTTAGACATCTTAAGTCCTGTTGACACTTGCAATTTTTGCTGCGATTTTGGGTGCGGTATTTTTCTTTTGGTGGGTGTGAGCGGGTGGATGAGTTGTGAATGTTCAGATGAAGGTACATGTACTCGGAACATTCATTGCTCATCTGCTCGTTCGCATGCATCGGTGGAGGAGGGTCGCGCCTGGAATCGCAGCGGGGGTTGCAGGTGTAAACGGTGTTTACATTATGTAGCCTTATTTATGCACTGTTACGCACTTATGTTATTGTATATATACTTGTTATACACTGATCACCGATTGATACCAGCCAATCTATGTAATTGACTGAACGGTCTTTTTATCAGTATAAATAAAGATTTTATTATTATTATTATTAATGTGTTTAGATTTGCTTGCTATTAAGCATACATGTAGATACTATGTCAAAGCAATACGTATGTTGTAGTTCTGGTGTCAGGCTTTTACTGGTATGGCGTTTTTTTTTGCTTGCAAGATTATAACTGAAGAATGTTACAGAATTCGATAAGCGAGTTTTGATCTCAGAGTCAAGCATACAGTATGTGTCATCTCATCGGCTTGCCTTCTTGGAATTCAAAGATAGTCCTTAATGTGGGTTTCTTAGAAGCAGTTCGCTTCCTAGAAGATAAAAGTCTTCAACTCACTTGTAATGATTGCCGTTGTCAGTATGGTTTCAGTTTAGGTTTTTGTTCTTGCATAATACCATGGAATAAGATAACTATAACAAGAACAATATGGTTTATCATCCCATATGTATTAGTACCCTATTGAATGTGGGCTTGTTTTTATTCAAACACTGTTCCTGTGGTGATTGCCTTATTTGGGCACAAGAGCAAAAATTTAATCAATACAAGAGTGTAATTCATATGCATGACCGGGCACGTTTGTGGGTTTGGACAAGCAAGCTTTGGAATGGATCGGTTCTATGTAATTAGTAGGCGTATTAGAGAAAACTCACTGTAGAATGTGGATGGTTAGATGGTAGAAGGTAGATGTTTCCAACCGTATGTTATTAGGTCTGTGTTTTTAATCAGGTGAGTGAAATCCTTCGTAAATTTGATTTCGTCCTTGAATGATTACGAAATGAGTCCCGACCATTGCCGACTTACGAAAACCATGTCGAACAGTTGTCAGCATTGGTGTTTGTATTTTTTGTTAATGATACTCTAGACTGCCTATACGTTGCGACTTTAGTTTGTTGTTGAAATTTAGAATTCTTATAATAATTTAGGGCTGTACATGTTGATTGGTATGAAATTTAACTCGCCATAAAGGAAGCAAATTTCTTTTCTAGCTTTTCATTTTAAACTCAGTTAAAATTCCAAGAACTATTACGTATAGGCGGTAGCCATATAGCGACTGTTTTATTAAATAATATTCGGAATTGGAGGTGGATAGGTGGTTTAATTGTGGAATCGTCAATACTCATTAAATTAAACACCGCACGACTGGATATTGGATTATCGTGTTTTGTTGTCAGAAATAATATTGCCCGCAAACACAATTCGATCTAAATATTGTTATAAACTATAGGAAATTCTTGGCTAAATGATTAGTGTGTGCGCCTGCATATATTTAATTTTAATTTTACCCACTTTATATCCCCGTATTAAATCACCATAAAACAAAAGCTGGTTTGCATGAATTTAAATATCTCAGTGTTTACTTTCAATTTTGAAGGTCATTAGTCAACTTTTCGTTTGTGTTGTGTTATTGTTTGTGCGGTAATATGAAAATTTAATTTTAAATGTCATGGGTGCAAGTGTAATATAAGTAGGGTAGGGTAAACAGAAAAAGCGTCTCATTTCCAAACTTGCAACCGCACACCTACTTGGTATTAACAAGCGTTTTTCTTTCACTAATGTGACCTGTCTTTGTCTGCCTTGTTCAGACATAAACAGGTCTAAACCTACCTCTGTTTTTGTTCTGTTTGTTTCCCCTATGCATGCCTTCATACGTACATTATGCCTTTTTTAACCTTGTATCTAAAATATATATGTATGATTACATTTAACATATATGTATGATATAAATGTGTGACTTTCATTTTTTTTTATCCTTGTTCTCAACAGATCCATCTGACTGCTTTTTACTTTGCTAGGTTTGTTTTAATATGATCACTTGTATAAAAACACACGTATCCCCCCCCCCCATTAATTCACGACGAAGGGCTTTTGCTCCTCCGTCTGTAATGTTTAGGTAGTTAATTAATAGACCTTTTGCTGCTTGTTGTGACTACCGCGCCGTATGTGGTGGGCAATATGTCAGAGGCTTGCTTGCACACAATTATGTGCGTCACACTCGTGAGCTTTCGACATTCATCCGTAACGTTTCTGGGACAAAGCAAATTCATAATATTGACGAATTAGTTTACCTTGTCTGCATACGTTACTACGTTTGTTTGATGAATTTTTTAATGGTAAACATTTTATGACGTTTGAAGTTGATCAACAGTCCCGGATTATCTAGGGGGAATGGGGCCATTTGCCCCCTGCCCCAGCTCAAAAGCTTACTTACCGGCCAAAGAAAAACAATGTTTAAAAGTTTCATTTAATGTGGAGATTACAAATGACATAAATTCTCATGGAAGCTCACATTATATAAAGGCCAGTCGCATAATTTCGAAAGCTAAGAAGTTCTGGCGTCCTAAACAAGTCAATAACTATCTGCATGCGTCTGGAAAACGATAAGGTTACAAAACTCGACCGACTTCGCATCACGAACTGCTGGACTCACTGCTGATAGACGAAATCATTTCCAACTTTGCACCGCTGAAATCACGTAAAGTGCCAGTTTAACAATAAAATATAGGCTATACCGTGTATAGTTCTTGATCATGATGTAATGGACAAAACTTTAGTTTCGATTTGATTATATATTTCATATTCACCGAATGCCGGCCCTGTAGTATTTCTTGCCCCCGGCCCCGGAATGGGTTAATCCGGCACTGTTGATCAATACGGCTGATGCAATAGAACGTAGTGCAATTATTGTATTCCAACAATAATAAGTAACTGCAAATCGCTATGCGATCTTCGGAAATTGCTGCTGATATCATGCTTCTTTCATGTATGCACACAGTCTGTTGAAACTTTAGCTTACTTCTCATGCACAATTAAGCCGGTTTTACACTAAGCGGAATTTTGCGCGCGGAGCGGAATTTTTCTTTGTCTTGTGATTTCTAGGGTGGAACTAATTAGAAAAGACAAAGAAAGATTCCGATCCGCGCGCAAAATTACGCCTAGTGGAAAACAGGCTTTAGCCAGTGTAATAAGTACAAGCAGAAGTACAAAACAGAATTGTGTTTAGTAGACACAGAGCTTAAGCCAGGATTTTACCGGTAATTTTACTACCATAAAATTGAATAATCATTTAATGACGTGGTCATTGGTGAGTAATTAAAAATAGTCTGGACATTGGAAAGAATTATCCATTTTAATAATCATTAAAAATAACTGATTTCAAGAGAAATTCATTGGGCAGAACACGAGTATATGAATATACATCCTCCCCAATTAACGCTCTAGCTAGTAGGTACGGCCCTGTAGGCGCGAAGGTCACAATTTTTGATGCACCAAATCTACTTTTCTAAATCCTAATTTGTAATCAGTATTTAAATATTTAAGGTTTATTTTTTTTACAAGATTACAAAATCTTTAATTTTACAAAAGCCTCTCTTGAATGTACCATCTGTAAAGCAAAAGAGAACCGAGGACGTGGCCAGTGTAGGTTGCGGTAGCAACATCACAAATAGGTACGCATCGCGTACATGTGACTACCGCTCTGTGTGTGTGCATGAATTGTAAAATAACGTTGTCGTAAAATGCACATTTAAAATCTCTTCACAATGACAATTTAATCGAGCATACCAAATATTATGCCAAGAAAAGTTATAGATAAGTTGCATAACAGCCACTTCATACTAATCAGCATTTCCAAAACTGTGCAACGTATTGTGATCCTAGGATTTGAAAATACGTACTGGCTGTCCACGTTACAACTTACACTGTACATCACGAAATATCAAATTCCTTCATATTTTGATTATGCGCCCTTAGAATAAATTGACGCTGAATCAAGCAAATTCTAAAACGATCTGATTTCAATCGTTTGGAATCTTTTTTGAGGCAGCCAGTACAAAATTAAAGCACACATGGGTATTACACATTATTA